GAAATAAATAAACCCTTCCCTGCTTAACATTGCTTTTGTCAGGGGATGTATCACAGCAACAGACAGGAAATTACAACAACCATCCCCAAATTACCCACAATGCCTATTGTGATGTTGAATGAATTGACGTTTTATTACATTGTTTGGGGCAATGACAAGAGAAAGCACTGCTTGTATACATGAAGCATATGCACAAATTATTGTCAAATGTTTTCTATCTGTAACTGGTTGGATCTGTGGATGTGGCACCTGCCAATGTGAAGGGCTGAGTGCACTGTCTGCTGCAAACAACACTCTACTGTCTATAAAACTGACATAAAGGAAGTTCTAAAAGTCATTTGCTCTTATGTTGTAAGGAGGTCAGGTTCAGAAGAGAATTCAAGGGAATGTAAAGCACAAATCCACAAGGTTGTGGGTTGGAAGGAAGGAGGCTGGCATGATAACAATCAAGCTGTGGAAGATGGCCTCACTTGGCTTTAGTGATATATGAGCCCACTGTGGTTTGTGGTGGGTAGGGTCATAGCACTGTGAGCCCTATAAAGGGCAACCCTTTTGGTGTCTTCCAGCTGCTAGTGGTTGGCAATGGCTGGTGGTTCTTGGCATTCCACTTTTATGTGCACCATTGAGACCTCCCTCTTCCTACCAGGTATTCCCTGAGACTCCCCATGGCATCCTCCTTCAGTTTGCACCTGTGTCTCTATTTGTGTATGTGTGTGTGTGTGTGTGTGTGTGTGTGTGTGTGTGTGTGTGTGTGTGTGTGTATGTGTGGAGAGAGAGAGAGGACTGTGTGGGTACATGTGCCACAGCACTTACGTGGAGGTCATAGGACAACCTGGCATGCCAATCATTACCTTCACCTTATTTGACACATGATCTCTTTACAATTCATGGCTGTGTGTGCCAGGGTAACCCATCTGCAATCTTCTAGGAATTCTCCTGCCTCTGCTGCACCTTATCTCACCATAGGGATGCTAGAATTACAGGTGTATGCTACTATATTTGGCTTAACAGGAATTCTGAAGGTTCAAACCCAGGTCTTCATGCTTGCGTGGCAAGTATTTCACTCACTGAGCCATCACTGTGCCCTTCTTTGTCCCTGTGTGAAGCACCCCAGTCATGGTGAAAGAGCACCTGCCCGAATGCTCTTACTTTCACTTAGTGACCTGTATAAAGACAATTTTCGAATATGGCAACGGTAAGGGCCTCAGAAAACGGGTTTCACAGTTGGGGGAAGGCAGGTTGGTGTACCGTTCCTGGATAAACTCTGAAAAAGAACAACTAAAGCCATTGTGGTCATGACACACAGGGAGGTACCAAGTAGATCATCTCACCTCTCAGAGTGTGTAGCCCATGTGCAAAACCCACCTGTTTCACCAAGTGTTCTCATGTATTATGTTCTTAGTACTGTCTCATCTCCCATTCCTCATTTTATTAGGTGACCCACTCCATCACCTCCTTGATCCAGACATTGACACACATCTTTCTCCAGTGCATTACACACAGCAGATGGCCAGTGGACATTTATCACATGTATTGATCAGTGTTCACTCACCCATCTTACCAAAACATGTTTCGAATGCAGATCTCAGAGCTTGAGAGGAAAATCGGTGCTATAAGTACTTTTCCTGTAGATTCAGTGATGGTTTCCAGGTAGGTGGAAAGGGCTAGCAGTAGTCTTCTGGTCTGTAGAGAGAGCCACCAATGGTCCAGATAAACACAGAGAACTTGGGTCTTTCATAAGGCGGTTGTGGCTAGCAGAGACAGTGTGACCGATGGGAGAGACACTCCAATCAGCATTGTGGTGTTGTAGAAACAGTGTTAGGTGTGTGTGCACACCTGAAGCTCTGAGCTCGCCTCCTTCTACATTATGCTACCTTGGGCCTTGATTTGTGACTCTGAGACTCAGTTTCTTCATTTGAAAAGCGAAGCCAGGAAAGGCTGCTCCTATGACAAGCCTTGGTGGTTTGGATAAAAATGGCCAGAGTGTCCCCCATAGGCTCAGATGTTTGAATGTTTGGTCCCAGTTGGTGGAACTGTTTGGGAAATATTAGGAAGTATGGCCACATTGAAGGATACGGTATGCCATTGGGGGTGGGCTTTGAAGTTTTAAAAGTCCATGCCATTCCTGGGTTGATCTCTCTGCTTCAGGCTTGTGGATCTGATTACCATGCCTGCCTGCCTGCTGTCATGCCCCCTGCTAAGATGGTCATAACCCTGAAACTCTAAGTCTCCAATAAACTGTCTTTCATAAGTTGCCTTGACCATATTGTTTTGCAACAGCCATTGAAAAGTAACTAAGACAAAAGTTGTCATGAAGGCCAAGGTAAGGAATGCAGAAAGGTGTTTCTTAAGTCCTGAAGACTTGCAGAGTATTAGGAAGTTATGTTTGTTTTTGCCTTGTGTCTCTACATGGCCTTTGCTATGGGAAGCGTATATGGGAGACAAAAAAGACAGCCAGCCAGCAAGAAAGACAATGTTGTTTTCTCAGGGAGAATTAGCTGTGAGTCAACAGAAAGTTCTGGCAGAATGGCACAACAGAAAAGCAGCGAAGTAGGAAGGCAGCTGCCAGGGTAAGGACAAGGCTGTGAGCAGCCTGGGAAGAAGGCAGGATGCACAGCTCTGGAGGGCTTGCTCTCTCAACCCCTCCTTTGGACTTCTTCCTAGTCATACTTTGACTGACTTCACCCGTTCCCAGAAGAGCCTCAGACCTATGACACAGTCACTAGAGTTGAAATGTCCCAGTGGGGATGAGAAGATGATTTTTTTAAAAAAAAAGACATGGCCAGATGTCTTTTGCTGGGGTATAATAGTTGATCAGTCTCTTTTCCAGACATTTTATGTCAGTTCCCCAGGATGTGTAATTTTCCTTGCTAGTGCAGGCATAGAGTTGAAAATGGAAAGTTCTCCTGTTACTTTCTTCTTTCCACAGTCTGTGTCAGGTAGTTTTTTGTTAGCCTTTCCGTTGTCATTGCTTCAAGAATTGCTTGCAGAATTTCAAGCATATTTGAATTTGGTGGCATATTGAAGGGGGACTGCAAAGATGAGTCAGCCAGGGCATGGATGAGTTTCTGCCCTGGGTCCTAGGTAGGAACAAAGTCTACTGTGCATGATGTATGCACAAAGCATTTTATATATTTCTTCATCTGGTGCTATCCTGGATTTTTCAGTTGGCAACAGTGAACTTGGACTTGTAGTAAAGGGCTGAATAATGCTTGTTGTTTCGAAACAGAACCACATCTCCCTACCCACTGCCATCCAGAAGGCCAGCCTGGGTCCCATGTGTCTGGTTCAGGGATTTCAAGATCTCTAGAAGCACAATATTGTTGACACTTAAACACTGTTTGCTTTTATATCTGCACCTGTTTTTCTAAATAACTTCTTGTCCACTGCAATGCCCGGGAAGTTGATTCAGTGATCACACCAGGTCAGAATCTCTCTTCCTTTGGAGGCTCTCTTCCATCAGCAGCAGCACAATTCACCCCCAATGCCATGCAGTGTACTCTCCATTCATTGTCTTCCTTCATCTGCACATCTCTTACCTTTTATCTGAAAGGTTTCTGCTTCGGGATTAAAGTAGGACAGTAAAACATTGCATTAGCATACCGACAAAGAGACAGCAGCATGGCAGGGACTCTGATGATATTTCAAGCCCACCAGGCAGATTAGGGTTCATTCTTACAGGTCTCAGAGGAAGGGGGACATTTTCACACCACTTGGTTGATAAGTGGTCTGCAGCTAGGCTGTCTCTGATTCCTGGAGAGGAGGAGTGGAGAGAATTCTGGGGAAGGAATGTGTGACTCTGAGGATGGGGTAGAAGGGCACATTTAGTTAAGGTGTGCCCGTTATATGACTAGGGGATGCGCCACCACCAGTACTCCATGATGTCCTGGAGTCTGACAACTTGAAGTCTGTAAATTGGTTGGGGCAGGACAGAGTGAGAATGATGCCCACCATTCTCTGGAACTCGGGAACCTGGGGAGTGTGTTAGGAGTTAGACATTCATTCTTGGACCAGTTCTCAATAGGCTTGCCATTTCCTCTACAGCAGCCGCGAGAAAAAGGCTGCTGCAGATGGGCATGGCTTGATCAGCCCATAGTTCAAAACCTAGCATTATCCTTAGAAAGTTAGCTTCATGTGCTAGCTGCCAGGCATCCCTCGGCACAGGGCATTCCTCCGCACAGGGCATCCCTCCACACATGGCATCTGCTCTCAGGAGTTCCTCAGGTATGAGTGGGAGTGAAGTAAGCTCTCACTCTACCCTTGAGAAGAAGGGGCTCTATAAAGCGCTGGAGGGGCATGCTGACATTTCCTGAGCTGCTGTATCCCCCTTTCTCATGGGTACCCTCTGGAATTCTCTTCACTGTTTACAGATTAGGAAATATTCTCCTGCCTCAAAAGATCAAGAGAGACCTCCATAATTTAGGGGCTCCAGAAGTTTGGAAACTGCTGGTGTCCTGCTCTCTGTTTTTCACACCAGCTGTTTCTAACTCCCCTCTTGGAGTGAGCCCTGGTTGATCCCTCTCAGAAGCCAGAAAATGTCCATCAAATTGGATCAAGGGTGGAGAGTGTACCCAGTCTTGCCTCCAGTTCCATGCTCATTGCAGGCCCAGAGTTGAGGCCCCAGGGGACCCCTGGCCATCCATACTCTGCAGGAACTTCAGAATTTCAAAGGCCTTTCACCCTGCCAGGTCTCGCTGACCATGTCCAATGAGCTCCAATGACCACAGGCCCCCATTAGTTCTGTGCTGTATGTAGTTTAGATGGAAATACAGACTCCTAATTTAATCACTAACCAGGTAGCCATGGAGATGACATCAAGCCTCCGGCTGCAATGGTGGAAGTGCTGCAAACCGGGCATGCAAGTTGCCGGCGCTAAGGCTTTGCCTGCAGGCTCCGCGTAGGCTGCCCTTGGCCTCTGGTGTCCCTTAGGATTCAGAAATTTGAAAGCCAGGAGTCACAGCCTTGGTCTCAGTGCTCTCTTTACCTCTTCTCTCTTGCAGGTGTACCAACACTCCCACACTGGATATTACGTCCTGAGCAAAATTCCTCACGGGTAAGATGGTTCTTTCTTTTTCTCTCCCTTGGAAATCTGCAGAACAAAGTGAGACAGAGGACAGTGAGGCTCTGCCCAGCCCGTAGGGCAGGAGCAGGGCACCATGGATCAGAAAAGCCCTGTGGCTGGCCCTTCTTCTGATAACAGGACCAAGTTAGCAGAGGTCACTTAATCCAGCTGCTGGCACCTCTGGGAAGCCTCCTCCCCTAGAGCAATGCTGCCCACTCCCTGCTCTGATTCTGTGGAATAAGATCACCAGTGCCTCCACATGGGGTGTGCATGTTGGATAGGACCCAGCTCTCCTAGGCAGGCCCTTGGCTCTATCCTCACTAATAGGAAGGAAGCCCCTTACTTCCCCGCATGGCATCAGAAACAGAGCTTCACGATGGTGAATGGACAACTGTGGTCATAGATCCAGCAGTGCCTTGGGAGAGGAACCAAAGCAATGAGTCAGTCTTGGTCACAGGAAGAAAGAGCTGGCTCTGCCCAGCAGTCCCAGGGTGGTGTGTGTTTGTGGTTTACGCTCTTCACTGGCATAATTGTGTTCCCAGAAGCAAGTTCTCAGTGATTTTGATCGGACCACCCAGCCTCATGCTGTTTCACGACCTTGAATTATGTTGCTAAGCCTACCTGGTCTCTCACAAGTACATAATCTAGGGACATAAACTTGACTGGCAAAGCACTTGCCTAGTGTGATGAATTAAGCTCTAGGTTCAGCCCCAGCACTGCATAAACCTGGCCTGGTGATACAATGCTATAATCCCAACACTTGAGACACGGAGACAAGAGGATCAGAAGTTCGAGGTCATCCTGAGCTACATAGAGTTTTGCAGTCAGCCTGTGCTACATGAGACCCTGTCTAAAAAAATACAAAATACACACCTTAGAGTCCAAGGGCACACATGAAAGAGAACCCCTGAGCAGGAGTGTTGACAGGTTTTCAGCTCCAGGTAGGCACATGTCTTTATATATTGGTGATATAATTATATTACCTAGCCATTGAGCCCCACAGGCTAGGACACCAGTAAAGTCTGGTGAAGCCGTGGGCTCAGGTTAAGAGGCAGCCGCAGTGCTGACCTTGGAAAGCCCACAGACGTGACTGTGTTGTTTGTATATTTACCCTTCCTCTCTCTTCTCTGCCTGCTCCTCCCTCTGCCCCCTCCTATCCCTAAGTCTCCATCCTTTGTTTCTGGGCATCTTGGTCCCAGCCTCCCATTGTCTCCTGCATTCTGTGCTCTCTCTCCCCGACAATGCTCTCTGAGAAGACTAGATGCTCAGGGCTTGTCCTAAAAGAGATAGACCTGTGCTGTCAGCCTCATCGGGTAGCTTCTGCAAATGTTGAGGTTGAGACACAACATTTCCCCGGCAGCCTTCAATAAACAGCAGGAGCTGCTAAAACTGTATTGTTCTGGAAGAGAGCTTTAGCCACAGCATGAATGTTTAGACTGCTGTCTGTTTTCCCGCTAAGCTTGGGTAGAATGAGGGCATGTCCTTAGAAAATAAACATGGCAGAAGTAACTTCATTTGGACTGCAGACTAAGAGGTGCCTGCATGGAGATAAAGAAGAAAATGTGTTTGACAGGGGCTTGTTGGTTTAGTCACTGTATTAAAATAAAGAAACCGAAAGTGACTGTACATAGTAAAAAGAACGTACCCATGGTCGGGGGAGATGGTTTTCTGGTTAAGAGCACTTGCTGCTTTTCCAGAGCACTGGAATTCAGTTCCCAGCACCTACATCGGGTGGCTCACAACTGCCTGTAACTCCAGCTCCAGGGTACCAAACTCCCTCTTCAAGCTTCTGTGTGCACCTGCACTCATGTGACATACACACACAACAACACACATTCACAGGCATAACTTAAAGCAATGACATAAATCTTTAAAAAGTGAAGCATTCGCAGGAATCTTTCATTAAAGCATATCACAGCAGATGTTACTCAAGAAACAGGAGTCATCTTACTCACCTTAAAGCAGACAGACACCCTCAAAGGTCACGGCACGCAAGAATAAAGTGATACCTTGAGACTCATCCCCCATTCGGGGAGCAATGAATGTGTGGAACATGCTGGATATTTCATTCTGTCTTACATAAATTTATGAAGCTCAAGGTTCCGCACACAGTTTACACCTGACATATTAAGATTTTACTGCATCCAAGAGGATTTAGGAGAAATGGATTTCAACAATTTTGTATGAGTGTTAGGTAAAGCAGCTGGCAAATCTAAGGGTGGTGGAGAGGCTGGGCTCTGGGCTTATCTACTGACAGCCTTGCCATCGTTCACTTCCTACATGAGCCCAACACCAGTAAGCAACATTGGGCATTCGTGTGTGTGTGTGTGTGTGTGTGTGTGTGTGTGTGTGTGTGTGTGTGTGTGTGTGAGAGAGAGAGAGAGAGAGAGAGAGAGAGAGAGAGAGAGAGAGAGTGCATGTGCACATGTGTGAGCATGCAGGAGGAGGACAGAAGTCAATTTCAGCTACTGTCCACCTTGGGTTTTTTTTTTCTTGAAACAAGGTCTCTCAGTGTCTTATCAAGTAGGCAATGAACCCCAGAGATCTGCCTGTCCACGCTCCTCCTCAAACACTGGTATTGCAATCCTGTACCACCGTGCTCTCAGGCTTACAAAGCAAGTACTTTCACAAGCCCCTCCCTGGACCCTGCTTTGGGTCTCCTTAACGAAAAATAGTTGTAGTGATCACCATCATGTACTGATTGTGTTCTGTGTATCTTGGCCCCTGTACCTTAAGTGTTAAGTGTTAAGCTTTAGGTATTCTTACCAGTATGTTAAGTAAGAGCCCAGATGGGTTGAGTCACCTGCCCAACACCTCACAGCTGGAATCTCAGTGCATGGCTGGATGACTTCCAAGCCCGTGTCCCTAATGTCACCCCTTTGGAGGAATTCAAAGACAGGTCTGATGTAACCGTGCAGAGTACAGACATTAGAGCTGTAAACATCAGATCTTTAGTGAGGCCGGGTTCGGTTATCTCCTATGGATTCACACAGAATGGGCAGATTATTCATCCGTAGCCTGTACTGAATGCTGAAGGCAGCATCCCACCCTTGCTTCACTTTAGCCCACTCTGGGTCCACTGAAAGGCATCATTCCATCTTCCCAACCCTTGTCGGTTTTTGTCCTTAGATCCCTGGCGGGAAATTTATGCACTAACCAGTTTCCGATGCTGTCAGAGTCTCTTCGGAGTTGATGGCATGGTGGATCTCTGAACTGGGCCATCTTTCAGTCTGTAGCTTTTGCAACCTCAACCTTCAAAAGGTTCCTTCACACAGGAATTACATAGCCCAGGGTCTTATAGTTTCTCTACCTTCCAAGTGCTGGAGTGACAGGTGTTCAGCACTGTGCTGGGATAAGTTTCCCTTATCCCATACAGATCCTTACTTGTCCCACACATTTCCACATTTCCTTCCAGCATTCCTCCTTTTGTGTTCCAGCCAGAGGTCATCCCAAGTTCAGAATGAGAGTGTCTGTCATTTCTAACTTGAATTTTTAACCAGCCACGGAAGGGTCAAGCTAATGTTTCAGTGCCCTCCAGTTCTTGGTGTCATTCCTATTTTACAAAGGCCAGAAGAGGTTGGGGTGCCTCTCTGCCTCTGCTCTGTTGCATATCTCTGTCTCATGTGGTTAGCTTATATGCTTTGGCCTCTGTTGCTGGAGCCAGAGAGAACTCAAGTTCATAAGGAAGCGGGAGCTCCAGTGAGGGTGTCAGACAGGCAAGCCAGCATCAGTCCAACACCCGAGTGCCTGTGGATAGGTCTGTTTGACTTCCCCTTACCAAGTTTTTAAGAACTCTATTCTTGAAAGACATGTGTACCCACATTGTTTACTTAAATAGAAATAGAGGAGGGTCATTTGTAACCATAAGGCATTTCACTAAAAATTTTTATGTCACAATTTCCATTCAGTAAGGCAACTTTCCACAGTGGCTATTAGCCACACACTGCTAGAAAGATGGCTCAGTGGTCAAGAGCACACACTGCTCTTCCAAAGGACCTGAGTTTGGTTCCCAATACCCACATTGGGAGGTTCATAACCACCTATAACCCCAGCTCCAAGGGATACGATGCCCTCTGCTGGCATCTGCAGGAAATGATATGCACATGTACATAGCCACACATGGACACATAATAAAAATAAAACTAAAAGTCATTTTTAGAATGATCGGTTATATTTTTCAAACAAGTTTTGGTACAGTTTCTCCCTTCAACATTTTTCTGGCATGATTCTTTCCTTGAATTTGTTCTATCTTTGGACTTTATTATTTAAAAATATGTGTGTGTGTGTGTGTGTGTGTGTGTGTGTGTGTGTGTGTGTGTGTAAGACAGAGAGAGGGAGAGGGAGAGGGAGAGGGAGAGAGAGATATTAGGGCCATCCTGAAAGTCCCACAAAGAAATGAAAAGAGCAACGCTTCTTGTAGCAGAAATAAATTTAATAAAACTGGGCAGTAACTTCATCAGGAAGCACTGACACTTTGGGGGTCTGAAAACTCAGAATGGTAATAGAGCAGAGGCTAACTAAGATGTGTATCAAAGATATTACTTAGATGACAGGCTATCTTCTGTGGATAATAGTGTCTTAACTTTGCTCAAGCACAAAAACTATATTGCTTTAGAATTGGACTTGACTTTTTAAAGTCACAATGTATTTGAGAAGATATGGAACTGAGTCACAGGTCCTCCTGCCTAGATCTTCTCATTCCCCTGGTATCCTGGGGTGCACAAAGATTTTGTTTATTTAGGAAGTGGGTGCTCCCTGAGAGACAGCCTAGCAGCACACACAGGCATCCACAACTTCAGCTTTTCAGTGACAAGAATTCCAAGGTCAACCCTCACCCCACTGGCTGTCTTGCTCTGCTTTCCTTCCATGGGTCTTGGTTTCATATTTAAGAGAGAGGTGGGGCAGGAGGTAATGCCCATGCTCAGCCTTTGGAGAACTAAGGACAGGAAACACAGTATAGTCAGAAAATATTTGAAATGCTACATTATTAT